TGTAGAGAGCCTGCCCGGCTGGTGCTCCTGTAGAGAGCCTGTCCGGCTGGTGCATCTGTAGAGAGCCTGCCCGGCTGGTGCACCTGTAGAGAGCCTGCCCGGCTGGTGCACCTGTAGAAAGCCTGTCCGGCTGGTGCACCTGTAGAGAGCTTGCCCAGCTGTAGAGAGTCTGCCCATCTGTAAAGAGCCTGCCCGGCTGGTGCACCTGTAGAGAGCCTGTCCGGCTGGTGCACCTTAGAGAGCCTGTCCGGCTGGTGCACCTTAGAGAGCAGGTGCCCGGCTGGTGCACCTGTAGAGAGCCTGCCCGGCTGGTGCACCTTAGAGAGCCTGTCCGGCTGGTGCACCTGTAGAAAGCCTGTCCGGCTGGTGCACCTGTAAAGAGCCCGCCCGGCTGGTGCACCTGTAGAGAGCCCGCCCGGCTGGTGCACCTGTAGAAAGCCTGTCCGGCTGGTGCACCTGTAGAGAGCCTGCCCGGCTGGTGCACCTGTAGAAAGCCTGTCCGGCTGGTGCACCTGTAGAAAGCCTGTCCGGCTGGTGCACCTGTAAAGAGCCCGCCCGGCTGGTGCACCTGTAGAGAGCCCGCCCGGCTGGTGCACCTGTAAAGAGCCTGCACGGCTGGTGCACCTGTAGAGAGCCTGCCCGGCTGGTGCACCTGTAGAGAGCCTGCCCGGCTGGTGCACCTGTAGAGAGCCTGCCCGGTTGGTGCACCTGTAGAGAGCCCGCCCGGCCGGTGCACCTGTAGAGAGCCTACCCGGCTGGTGCACCTGTAGAGAGCCTGCCCAGCTGGTGCACCTTAGAGAGCCTGCCCAGCTGGTGCACCTGTAGAGAGCCTGCCCAGCTGGTGCACCTTAGAGAGCCTGCCCGGCTGGTGCACCTTAGAGAGCCTGCCCGGCTGGTGCACCTGTAGAGAGCCTGCCCGGCTGGTGCACCTGTAGAGAGCCTATCCGGCTGGTGCACCTGTAGAGAGCCTGCCCAGCTGGTGTACCTATAGAGAGCCTGCCCGGATGGTGCACCTGTAGAGAGCCTGCCCGGCTGGTGCACCTGTAGAGAGCCTGCCCGGTTGGTGTACCTGTAGAGAGCCCGCCCGGCCGGTGCACCTGTAGAGAGCCTGCCCGGCAGGTGCACTTGTAGAGAGCCTGCCCGGCTGGTGCACCTGTAGAGAGCCTGCCCGGCTGGTGCACCTGTAGAGAGCCTGCCCGGCTGGTGCATCTGTAGAGAGCCTGCCCGGCTGGTGCACCTGTAGAGAGCCTGCCCGGCTGGTGCACCTTAGAGAGCCTGTCCGGCTGGTGCACCTTAGAGAGCAGGTGCCCGGCTGGTGCACCTGTAGAGAGCCTGCCCAGCGGGTGCACCTTAGAGAGCCTGTCCGGCTGGTGCACCTGTAGAAAGCCTGTCCGGCTGGTGCACCTGTAAAGAGCCCGCCCGGCTGGTGCACCTGTAGAAAGCCTGTCCGGCTGGTGCACCTGTAGAAAGCCCGCCCGGCTGGTGCACCTGTAGAAAGCCTGTTCGGCTGGTGCACCTGTAGAGAGCCTGTCCGGCTGGTGCACCTGTAGAGAGCCTGCCCGGCTGGTGCACCTGTAGAGAGCCTGTCCGGCTGGTGCACCTTAGAGAGCCTGTCCGGCTGGTGCACCTTAGAGAGCAGGTGCCCGGCTGGTGCACCTGTAGAGAGCCTGCCCGGCTGGTGCACCTTAGAGAGCCTGTCCGGCTGGTGCACCTGTAGAAAGCCTGTCCGGCTGGTGCACCTGTAAAGAGCCCGCCCAGCTGGTGCACCTGTAGAGAGCCCGCCCGGCTGGTGCACCTGTAGAGAGCCTGTCCGGCTGGTGCACCTGTAGAGAGCCTGCCCGGCTGGTGCACCTGTAGAAAGCCTGTCCGGCTGGTGCACCTGTAGAAAGCCTGTCCGGCTGGTGCACCTGTAAAGAGCCCGCCCGGCTGGTGCACCTGTAGAGAGCCTGCCCGGCTGGTGCACCTGTAAAGAGCCTGCCCGGCTGGTGCACCTGTAGAGAGCCTGCCCGGCTGGTGCACCTGTAGAGAGCCTGCCCGGCTGGTGCACCTGTAGAGAGCCTGCCCGGCTGGTGCACCTGTAGAGAGCCTGCCCGGCTGGTGCATCTGTAGAGAGCCTGCCCGGCTGGTGGCCCTGTAGAGAGCCTGCCCGGCTGGTGCACCTGTAGAGAGCTTGCCCGGCTGGTGCACCTGTAGAGAGCCTGCCCGGCTGGTGCACCTGTAGAGAGCCTGCCCGGCTGGTGCACCTGTAGAGAGCCTGCCCGGCTGGTGCATCTGTAGAGAGCCTGCCCGGCTGGTGCACCTGTAAAGAGCTTGCCCGGCTGGTGCATCTGTAGAGAGCCTGCCCGGCTGGTGCACCTGTAAAGAGTTTGCCCGGCTGGTGCACCTGTAAAGAGCTTGCCCGGCTGGTGCACCTGTAGAGAGCCTGCCCGGCTGGTGCACCTGTAGAGAGCCTGCCCGGCTGGTGCACCTGTAGAGAGCCTGCCCGGCTGGTGCACCTGTAGAGAGCCTGCCCGGCTGGTGCACCTGTAGAGAGCCTGCCCGGCTGGTGCACCTGTAGAGAGCCTGCCCGCCTGGTGCACCTGTTGAAAGCCTGTCCGGCTGGTGCACCTGTAGAGAGCCTGCCCGGCTGGTGCATCTGTAGAGAGCCTGCCCGGCTGGTGCACCTGTAAAGAGCTTGCCCGGCTGGTGCATCTGTAGAGAGCAAGCCCGGCTGGTGCATCTGTAGAGAGCCCGCGCGGCTGGTGCACCTGTAAAGAGCCTGCCCGGCTGGTGCACCTGTAGAGTGCCTGCCCGGCTGGTGCACCTGTAAAGAGCCTGCCCGGCTGGTGCACCTGTAGACAGCCCGCCCGGCTGGTGCACCTGTAAAGAACCTGCCCGGCTGGTGCACCGGTAGAGAGCCCGCCCGGCTGGTGCACATGTAGAGAGCCTGCTCGGCTGGAGCCCCTGTAGAGAGTTTGCAAGGCTGGTGCACCTGTAGAGAGCCTGCCCGGCTGGTGCACCTGTAGAGAGCCTGCCAGGCTGGTGCACCTGTAGGGAGCCTGTCCGGCTGGTGCACCTGTAGAGAGCCCGCCCGGCTGGTGCACCTGTAGAGAGCCTGCCCGGCTGGTACACCTGTAGAGAGCCTGCCCGGCTGGTGCACCTGTAGAGAGCCTGCCCAGCTGGTGCACGTGTAGAGAGCCTGCCCAGCTGGTGCACCTGTAGAGAGCCCGCCCGGCTGGTGCACCTGTAGAGAGCCTGCCCGGCTGGTACACCTGTAGAGAGCCTACCCGGCTGGTACACCTGTAGAGAGCCTGCCCAGCTGGTGCACCTGTAGAGAGCCTGCCCAGCTGGTGCACGTGTTGTGAGCCTGCCCAGCTGGTGCACCTGTAGAGAGCCTGCCCGGCTGGTGCACGTGTAGAGAGCCTGCCCAGCTGGTGCACCTGTAGAGAGCCCCCCGGCTGTAGAGAGCCTGCCCGGCTGGTGCACCTGTAGAGAGCCTGCCCGGCTGGTGCACCTGTAGAGAACCTGCCCGGCTGGTGCACCTGCAGAGAGCCCCCCGACTGGTGCACCTGTAGAGAGCCTGCCCAGCTGGTGCACCTGTAGAGAGCCCCCCGGCTGTAGAGAGCCTGCCCGCCCGGTGCACCTGTAGAGAGCCTGCCCGGCTGGTGCACCTGTAGAGAGCCTGCCCGGCTGGTGCACCTGTAGAGAGCCTGCCCGGCTGGTGCACCTGTAGAGAGCCTGCCCGGCTGGTGCACCTGTAGAGAGCCCCCCCCCCCCCCCCGGCTGGTGCACCTGTAGAGAGCCTCCCCCCCTGGCTGGTGCACCTGTAGAGAGCCTGCCCGGCAGGTGAACCAGTAGAGAGCCCCCCGGCTGGTGCACCTGTAGAGAGCCTGCCCAGCTGGTGCACCTGTAGAAAGCCTGCCCGGCTGGTGCACCTGTAGAGAGCCTGCCTGGCTGGTGCACCTGTAGAGAGCCTGCCCAGCTGGTGCACCTGTAGAGAGCCTGTCCGGCTGGTGCACCTGTAGAGAGCCTGCCCGGGTGGTGCTCCTGTAGAGAGCCTGTCCGGCTGGTGCATCTGTAGAGAGCCTGCCCGGCTGGTGCACCTGTAGAGAGCCTGCCCGGCTGGTGCACCTGTAGAAAGCCTGTCCGGCTGTTGCACCTGTAGAGAGCTTGCCCAGCTGTAGAGAGTCTGCCCATCTGTAAAGAGCCTGCCCGGCTGGTGCACCTGTAGAGAGCCTGCCCGGCTGGTGCACCTGTAGAGAGCCTGCCCGGCTGGTGCACCTGTAGAGAGCCTGTCCGGCTGGTGCACCTGTAGCGAGCCCGCCCGGCTGGTGCACCTGTAGAGAGCCTGCCCGGCTTTTACACCTGTAGAGAGCCTGCCCGGCTGGTGCACCTGTAGAGAGCCTGCCCGGCTGGTGCACCTGTAGAGAGCCTGCCCAGCTGGTGCACCTCTAGAGAGCCCCCCCCCCTTCCCGGCTGTAGAGAGCCTGCGCGGCTGGGGCACCTGTTGAGAGCCTGCGCGGCTGGTGCACCTGTAGAGAGCCTGCCCGGCTGGTGCACATGTAGAGAGCCTGCCCGGCTGGTGCACCTGTAGAGAGCCCGCCCGGCCGGAGCACCTGTAGAGAGCCCGCCCGGCTGGTGCACCTGTAGAGAGCCTGCCCGGCTGGTGCACCTGTAAAGAGCCTGCCCGGCTGGTGCACCTGTAGAGAGCCCCCCGGCTGTATTGAGCCTGCCCGGCTGGTGCACCTGTAGAGAGCCTTCCCGGCTGGTACACCTGTAGAGAGCCTGCCCGGCTGGTACACCTGTAGAGAGCCTGCCCGGCTGGTGCACTTGTAGAGAGCCTGCCCGGCTGGTGCACCTGTAGAGAGCCTGCCCGGCTGCTGCACCTGTAGAGAGCCTGCCCGGCTGGTTCACCTGTAGAGAGCCTGCCCACCATACTGTCAGGCTCTCTACAGGTGTACCAGCTAGGCAGGTCGTGTTGATCAACCAATCAACCAACCAGGTGTAGATGGGATACTTACCTGTGTGTGGACTGACGGTGTCGACGATGGGGGCGACGGTGTCGACGACGACGGTGGCAGTGTCGACGATGGGGTTACAGTGTAGGCGTGATGGCGGGGCACGCCCGATGCCCATCTCTCGCTGTCACTTTGTAAGGCAGGGAAGCCGTTGTAGCGAGTCTCTGAGCCGTTGTAGCGCGAGTCACTGCGGCCGACGTAACGGGTGTCGTTGTAGTGCGAGGCACTGCGACCGTTGTGACGAGGTGCTTTAAGGTAGTCGTAGAATCGCACGAGTAAGCTGTTGTAACTTTGATGAAGGAAGCCGTTATTGTCTTGGGCACTGAGGCCCTCGTAGCCTGGGGTACTGAGGCCGTTGTGGCCTTGGGCACAGAGGCCGTCCCTAGCGTGGGGTACTGAGGCCGTCTTAGCGTGGGGCACTGAGCCCGTTTTGGCCTTGGGCACAGAGGCCGTTCCTGGCGTGGGGCACTGAGGCCGTCGTAGCCTGGGGCACAGAGGCCGTCCTGGCGTGGGGCACTGAGGCCGTCGTAGCCTGGGGCACAGAGGCCGTCCTGGCGTGGGGCACTGAGGCCGTCGTAGCCTGGGGCACAGAGGCCGTCCTGGCGTGGGGTCCTGACTGAGGCCGTCGTAGCCTGGGGCACAGAGGCCGTCCTGGCGTGGGGCACTGAGGCTGTCGTAGCCTGGGGCACAGAGGCCGTCCTGGCGTGGGGCACTGAGGCCGTCGTAGCCTGGGGCACAGAGGCCGTTTTGTTTGAGGGGAGACGCAAGAGAGTACACTGTTGAACACGGAGGACTGAGACACTACGGATGTCTTGAGCTATAGTATACTGCCTCCTTGAACTACTGTGTGCTGCCTCCTGAAGCTACTGTGCGCTGCCTCCTAGAGCTACTGTGTGCTGCCTCCTGGAGCTACTGTGCGCTGCCTCCAGGAGGTACTGTGTGCTGCCTGCTGGGGTTGCTGTGAGCTGCTGCCTGGTGGAACTACTGTGTGTTGGCTCCTAGAGTTATAATGTGCTGCCTGCTGAAGGTACAGTGTCGTACTTCCTGGATGCACAGTGTTCTTGGCCTGCTGAAAGTAGTGTCGTGATTCTTGATTGTACAGTGTGCTTCCTATTGAAGGTACAGTGTGGTGCCTGATGGCGTAGGCTGCCCCGGGCGGCTGTTGGTCGGGGCAGAAAGGGTGTGAATGGGTAGCGGGGGACTGCGGGCGGCGCCTGACTGGGTGGTGCACCTGTAAAGACCTTTGCCGGCATGTGCACCTGTAGAGTGCCTGCCCGGCTGGTACACCTGTAGAGACCCTTCCCGGCATGTGCACCTGTAGAGAGCCTGCCCGGCTGGTGCACATTAGGTGGCACCATAACCAAAATGGCGGACGGCATGCTTGGCCCCACCTCTGGCAGTCCCAGCACCTGTGAGGGCCGGGCCGGCCACACCCACCGCCACCATTGCTCAACAATTAGCGCCAGGGCGGCCCTTGCACTCCAGGGCGGCCCTTGCACTCCAGGGGTGACCCTTGCACTTGAGGGCTGCCTTTCCTGAGTGCCTTCGCTGCTAGAGTGAAATTCACTGTAATAATATTCGTTGTGAAGTAGGCGAGCGGCTTGGGGTTGAGACTCTAATGCTGCAAGTTTGGCAGTGGAATTCCTTCATTTTTACTGGGTGTGGCTGAGGGCGGGGCTGGCCGCACCTTCTGAGGGCGGGGCCGGCCACATCTTCTGAGGGCAGGGGGTGGCCGCACCTTCTGAGGGCGGGGCTGGCCACACCTTCTTAGGGCGTGCCTGGCCGCACCTTCTGAGGGCGGGGCTGGCCACACCTTCTTAGGGCGTGCCTGGCCGCACCTTCTGAGGGCGGGGCTGGCCAAAACTTCTGAGGGCGGGGGGTGGCCGCACCTTCTGAGGGCGGGGCTGGCCGCACCTTCTGAGGGCAGGGCTGGCCGCACCTTCTGAGGGCGGGGCTGGCCAAAACTTCTGAGGGCGGGGGGGTGGCCGCACCTTCTGAGGGCGGGGCTGGCCAAAACTTCTGAGGGCGGGGGCTGGCCACACCTTCTTAGGGCGTGGCTGGCCACACCTTCTGAGGGCAGGGCTGGCCGCACCTTCTGAGGGCGGGGCTGGCCAAAACTTCTGAGGGCGGGGGGTGGCCGCACCTTCTGAGGGCGGGGCCGGCAACATCTTCTGAGGGCGGGGGGGGGGGGTGTGGCCGCACCTTCTGAGGGCGGGGCCGGCCACACCTTCTTAGGGCGGGGCTGGCCACACCTTCTGAGGGCGGGGCTGGCCAAAACTTTTGAGGGCGGGGCTGGCCGTTTCTTTTGAGGGCGGGGGTGGCCACCTCAGAAGGTGCTTCTGAGAGCGGGGCCGGCCACACCTTCTGAGGGCGGGGCTGGCAATACCTTTACAGGGTGGGCCTGGCCACACCATGTGAGGGCGATGCCGGCCACACCATGTGAGGGCGATGCCGGCCACACCATGTGAGGGCGATGCCGGCCACACCATGTGAGGGCGATACCGGCCACACCATGTGAGGGCAAGGCCGGCCACACCATGTGAGGGTGGAGCCAGCCACACCATGTGAGGGCGGGGCGGGCCACACCATGTGAGGGCGGGGCCAGCCATACCTTCTGAGGGATCGGGCGGCCACACCTTCTGATGGCGAGACCGACCACACCATGTGAGGGCGGGGTCGGCCACACCATGTGAGGGCGGGGCCGGCCACTCCATATGAGGGCGGAGACGGCCACACCTTCTATGGGTGGGGCCGGCCGCACCATGTGAGGGTGGGGTCGGCCACACCTTCTGAGGGCTGGGCCGGCCACACCTTCTGAGGGTGGGGCCGGCCACACCTTGTGATGGCGGGGCCGGCCACACCATGTGAGGGTGGGGCTGGCCACACCATATGAGGGCGGAGCCAACCACATCATGTGAGGGCGAGGCCGGCCACACCTTGTGATGGCGGGGCCGGCCACACCATGTGAGGGTGGGGCTGGCCACACCATATGAGGGCGGAGCCAACCACATCATGTGAGGGCGAGGCCGGCCACACCATGTGAGGGCGGGGCCGGCTACACCTTCTGAGGGCGGGGCCGGCCGCACCCTCTGAGGGCGGGGCCGGCCACACCTTCTGATTATGGGACCGGCCACACCTTCTGTGGGTGGGGTCGGCCACACCTTCTGAGGGCGGGGCCCACCACACCTTCTGAGGGCGGGGCCGGCCGCACCCTCTGAGGGCGGGGCCGGCCACACCACGTGAGGGTGGGGCCGGCCACACCATGTGAGGGTGGGGCCGGCCACACCATGCGAGGGCGGGGCAGGCCACATCATGTGAGGGCGGGACCGGCCACACCATGTGAGGGTGGGGCCGGGCACATCATGTGAGGGCGGGGCCGGCCACACCATGTGAGGGCAGGACCGGCCACACCATGTGAGGGCGGGACCGGCCACATCATGTGAGGGTGGGGCCCGCCACACCATGTGAGGGTGCGGCCAGCCACACCATGTGAGGGTGCGGCCAGCCACACCATGTGAGGGCGGGGCCGGGCACATCATGTGAGGGCGGGGCCGGCCACACCACGTGAGGGCGGGACCGGCCACACCATGTGAGGGCGGGGCCGGCCACACCATGTGAGGGCGGGGCCGGCCACACCATGTGAGGGCGGGACCAGCCACACCATGTGAGGGCGGGACCAGCCACATCATGTGAGGGCGGGACCGGCCACATCATGTGAGGCGGGCGGGACCGGCCACACCATGTGAGGGCGGGACCGGCCACACCATGTGAGGGCGGGACCGGCCACACCATGTGAGGGCGGGGCCAGCCACATCATGTGAGGGCGGGACCGGCCACACCATGTGAGGGCGGGACCAGCCACTCCATGTGAGGGCGGGACCAGCCACCCCATGTGAGGGCGGGACCAGCCACATCATGTGAGGGCGGGACCGGCCACATCATTTGCGGCGGGCGGGACCGGCCACACCATGTGAGGGCGGGACCGGCCACACCATGTGAGGGCGGGGCCGGCCACACCATGTGAGGGCGGGGCCGGCCACACCATGTGAGGGCGGGACCAGCCACACCATGTGAGGGCGGGACCGGCCACATCATCTGCGGCGGGCGGGACCGGCCACACCATGTGAGGGCGGGGCCGGCAACACCATGTGAGGGCGGGACCAGCCACACCATGTGAGGGCGGGACCAGCCACATCATGTGAGGGCGGGACCGGCCACACCATTTGCGGCGGGCGGGACCGGCCACACCATGTGAGGGCGGGACCAGCCACTCCATGTGAGGGCGGGACCAGCCACTCCATGTGAGGGCGCGGCCAGCCACACCATGTGAGGGCGGGGCCGGGCACATCATGTGAGGGCGGGGCCGGCCACACCATGTGAGGGCGGGACCAGCCACACCATGTGAGGGCGGGACCAGCCACATCATGTGAGGGCGGGACCAGCCACTCCATGTGAGGGCGGGGCCGGCCACACCATGTGAGGGCGGGGCCGGCCACACCATGTGAGGGCGGGGCCGGCCACACCATGTGAGGGCGGGACCGGCCACACCATGTGAGGGCGGGACCGGCCACACCATGTGAGGGCGGGACCGGCCACATCATTTGCGGCGGGCGGGACCAGCCACATCATGTGAGGGCGGGACCGGCCACATCATGTGAGGCGGGCGGGACCAGCCACACCATGTGAGGGCGGGACCGGCCACACCATGTGAGGGCGGGACCAGCCACACCATGTGAGGGCGGGACCGGCCACACCATGTGAGGGCGGGCCCGGCCACACCATGTGAGGGCGGGACCAGCCACACCATGTGAGGGCGGGACCGGCCACACCATGTGAGGGCGGGACCAGCCACATCATGTGAGGGCGGGAGGGCGGGGACGGCCACATCATTTGCGGCGGGCGGGACCAGCCACATCATGTGAGGGCGGGACCGGCCACATCATGTGAGGCGGGCGGGACCGGCCACACCATGTGAGGGCGGGACCGGCCACACCATGTGAGGGCGGGACCAGCCACACCATGTGAGGGCGGGACCAGCCACAACATGTGAGGGCGGGACCGGCCACACCATGTGAGGGCGGGACCAGCCACACCATGTGAGGGCGGGACCAGCCACTCCATGTGAGGGCGGGACCAGCCACTCCATGTGAGGGCGGGGCCGGCCACACCATGTGAGGGTGCGGCCAGCCACACCATGTGAGGGCGGGGCCGGGCACATCATGTGAGGGCGGGACCAGCCACACCATGTGAGGGCGGGACCAGCCACATCATGTGAGGGCGGGACCAGCCACACCATGTGAGGGCGGGACCGGCCACATCATGTGAGGGCGGGACCGGCCACACCATGTGAGGGCGGGACCAGCCACTCCATGTGAGGGCGGGACCAGCCACTCCATGTGAGGGCGGGGCCGGCCACACCATGTGAGGGCGGGACCGGCCACACCATGTGAGGGCGGGACCAGCCACATCATGTGAGGGCGGGACCGGCCACACCATGTGAGGGCGGGACCAGCCACATCATGTGAGGGCGGGACCAGCCACATCATGTGAGGGCGGGATCAGCCACATCATGTGAGGGCGGGACCAGCCACACCATATGAGGGCGGGACCGGCCCATCATGTGAGGGTGGGGCCGGCCACTCCATGTGAGGCCGGGACCAGCCACACCATGTGAGGGCGGGGCCGCGGCCACTCCATGTGAGGGCGGGACCAGCCACACCATGTGAGAGCGGGGCCGGCCACACCATGTGAGGCCCGGGCCGGCCACACCATGTGAGGGCGGGGCCGGCCACACCATGTGAGGGCGGGATCAGCCACATCATGTGAGGGCGGGACCAGCCACATCATGTGAGGGCGGGACCAGCCACACCATGTGAGGGCGGGACCGGCCACATCATGTGAGGGTGGGGCCGGCCACTCCATGTGAGGCCGGGACCAGCCACACCATGTGAGGGCGGGGCCGGCCACTCCATGTGAGGGCGGGACCAGCCACACCATGTGAGGGCGGGGCCGGCCACACCATGTGAGGGCCGGGCCGGCCACACCATGTGAGGGCGGGGCCGGCCACACCATGTGAGGGCGGGGCCGGCCACATCATGTGAGGGTGGGGCCGGCCACACCATGTGAGGGCCGGGCCGGCCACACCATGTGAGGGCGGGGCCGGCCACACCATGTGAGGGCGGGGCCGGCCACACCTTCCTCCGCCCTCTTCTTACCGACAAAATCTGTCGCGTGTAAGTCTGGAGTCGTGGGGAAAATGGTGGAGATGTGATGGTTGTGAGAGGGCGGGGTGGGCGGGGTGGGTGGGGGCGGCAAGATGGCCCTGGTCCCGGGGGATAAGCGGAGGGCGGTACCTGGCCGCGCCCTGCCGCGCCCTACAGCCGCGGGCGGGGGCGGCGACGCGCCACCACAGGGGCGCGGCCACCGCCACAATTAGCTGTGCCGGGGCGGTGTAAGTGACGAGTGAGAGGCGAGGTGTGGTGGGGGCGGCACCTGGCGGCCACACCCTCCACACCTGGCGGCCACCCACGCCCTGGCGGCGTGCGGGAGGCATCACCCCCGCGGGTGCAGGCGGTAGTGTGGGTGGAGGAGTTGTGGGGAAGTTATCAATGAGTGAGGCGGCGTATGCGCCGTGGCGACCTGCGTGGGCGGTGGGCGGAGCGCCGCCGCCTGGCCAATGGGTGGCGGCGGCTTCCTGCAGGTCGGCAGACACGGCGGCACGTTCAGCAGCCACGGCAGCGACTCGGTCAGTGTAGCCAGGGGCCCTCGGTGAGAGGATACTTGCACCCGCCTCGCAGGCCGCCCCTCACGCCGCCCGCAGCCCCTCGCAACCCATTCACACCCTTTCTGCCCCGACCAACAGCCGCCCGGGGCAGCCTTCGCCATCAAGCACCACACTGTACCTTCAACAGGAAGCACACTGTACAATCAGGAAGCACGACACTACTTTCAGCAGGCCGAGAACACTGTGCATCCAGGAAGTACGACACTGTACCTTCAGCAGGCAGCACACTGTAGCTCCAGGAGCCAGCACACAGTAGTTTCACCAGGCAGCACACAGTAGTTCCAACAATCAGCGCACAGTTGTTCTAGGAGGCAGCACACAGTAGTTCCAGGAGGCAGCAGACTGTAGCTCTTGACATCCGTAGCGTCTCAGTCCTCCGTGTCCAACAGTGTACTCTCTTGCGTCTCCCCTCAACATAACGGCCTCTGTGCCCCAGGTTACAACGGCCTACATACACCAGGCTACAACGGCCTCTGTGCCCCAGGCTACAACGGCCTCCGTGCCCGAGGCTACAACGGCCTCAGTGCCTCACACTGCGACGGCCTCTGTGCCCCACGCTAAAACGGCCTCTGTGCCCCTCGCTAGGACGGCCTCTGTGCCCGAGGCCACAACGGCCTCAGTGCCCCACGCTAGGACGGCCTCTGTGCCCCAGGCTACAACGGCCTCAGTACCCCACGGTACGACGGCCTCGGTGCCCCAGGCTGAAACGGCCTACGTGCCCCACGCTACGACGGCCTCTGTGCCCGAGTCTACAACGGCCTCTGTGCCCGAGTCTACAACGGCCTCTGTGTTCCAGGCTACGACGGCCTCAGTGCCCAAAACTATAACGGCTTCCTTCATCAAAGTTACAACAGCTTGCTCGTGCCATTCTACGACTACCTTAAAGCACCTCGTCACAACGGTCGCAGTGCCTCGCACTACAACGACACCCGTTACGTCGGTCGCAGTGACTCTCACTGCGACGGCCGCAGTGACTCGCGCTACGTCGACCGCAGTGACTTTCGCTACGACGGCCGCAGTGACTCTCGCTACAACGGCTCCCCTGCCTCACACAGTGACGGAGGGGAAAGGGCATCGGGCGTGCCCCGCCATCGCGCCTACACCGTCACCCTCATCGTCGACACTGCCACCGTCGTCGTCGACACCGTCGACACCGTCGCCCCCATCGTCGACACCGTCAGCCCACACACAGGTAAGTACCCCCATCTACACACAATCTTCCCCTCACCATTTTCTTCACCAGGTTTTAATGATAGATCACAAGTCTGCTGACTGAGCCACAGACTTAAGCTGTTGTGTGAAACATCAACTGGTTCTAAGCTGTTGTGTAAGGCGTCAACCGGTTTTAAGCTGTTGTGTAAGGTGTCAACGGGTTCTAAGCTGTTGTGTAAGGTGTCAACGGGTTCTAAGTTGTTGTGTAAGGCGTCAACCGGTTTTAAGCTGTTGTGTAAGGTGTCAACTGGTTCTAAGTTGTTGTGTAAGGCGTCAACCGGTTTTAAGCTGTTGTGTAAGGCGTCAACCGGTTTTAAGCTGTTGTGTAAGGCGTCAACCGGTTTTAAGCTGTTGTGTAAGGCGTCAACCGGTTTTAAGCTGCTGTGTAAGGTGTCAACGGGTTCTAAGCTGTTGTGTAAGGCGTCAACTGGTTCTAAGCTGTTGTGTAAGGCGTCAACCGGTTTTAAGCTGTTGTGTAAGGTGTCAACGGGTTCTAAGCTGTTGTGCAAGGTGTCAACCGGTTTTAAGCATTTATTTCACAAGTTTAAGCTGTTTTAACGTGGGCGTTTTTCGTTTTAACATTATTAGCATTACACATATTCTTACCCACAAGAATATGAATGAAACTATATACATTCAAAAGGAAGCAGTATATATACAAAATCACAGCAGGTCTCTTGGACAGCTTGGCCACCACCTCAAATAAACACCAGCTCTCTAGACCCGAGCATAGTTAGTGTTCTGTTGAAGTAGAGAAGATGAATGTTTACATTTTCCACCTGATCGCAAAATACCTTGCGCCTGGCGAACCACCACATTCATCCACACAATACCACATCTTCAATGTCCAACGAGAGAAGATTCTGTTTGAGCGTGGGTCCTGCGTCGTAGGTCCTGTGCAGGTGTAGGTAGAGCGTAGGTCCTGTGTAGGTGTAGGTAGAGCGTAGGTCCTGTGTAGGTGTAGATAGAGCGTAGGTCCTGTGTAGGTGTAGATAGAGCGTAGGTCCTGCTGCAGGTGTAGGTAGAGCGTAGGTCCTGCTGCAGGTGTAGGTAGAGCGTAGGTCCTGCTGCAGGTGTAGGTAGAGCGTAGGTCCTGTGCAGGTGTAGGTAGAGCGTAGGTCCTGCTGCAGGTGTAGGTAGAGCGTAGGTCCTGCTGCAGGTGTAGGTAGAGCGTAGGTCCTGCTGCAGGTCAGCTGCAGTGGGCAGGTCACGTGTTGCGACCCCCCAGCTGACCTCGTCCAAATATTTCAAGTCTCTCAGCAAACATTTTGAAGCATGAGTTTCGATAACTAATAAAGTGGCAGCTTTGGGTCGCGCCTCACAGCCCTCCTCCTCCACACTCACAATGTTGAGCCAGCCTCATCAACCGTGATCCAATGCTCATAGATTCTTACTTTAAAACCTCATACCCCTCGTTCCGGGTCCCTTTTACCTCGAACCTTTTTATCTTACACTTTACCTCACAACACTTTACCTCACAACACTTTACCTCACAACACTTTACCTCACAACACTTTATGTTCAAACACTTCACAACATATCAATTTTAAGCCACCTCAAAGGTGGCCGATCACCTCATCATAACACCTCACACGTGCCCATCACCTCATCATAACACCTCACACGCCCATCACCTCATCATAACACCTCACACGTGCCCATCACCTCATCATAACACCTCACACACGCCCATCACCTCATCATAACACCTCACACACGCCCATCACCTCATCATAACACCTCACACACGCCCATCACCTCATCATAACACCTCACACACGCCCATCACCTCATCATAACACCTCACACACGCCCATCACCTCATCATAACACCTCACACACGCCCATCACCTCATCATAACACCTCACACACGCCCATCACCTCATCATAACACCTCACACGTGCCCATCACCTCATCATAACACCTCACACACGCCCATCACCTCATCATAACACCTCACACACGCCCATCACCTCATCATAACACCTCACACGTGCCCATCACCTCATCATAACACCTCACATATCTCATCATCAAACAGCCTGGCCAGGTCTCATGTCAGGGAACTAATCTCAAAAACTCTCAAATTTCTTTTAATCTCAACAAATATGCAGCAAGAGTTCTTACCTAGTTGTGCTTGCAGGGGTTGAGCTCTGGCTCTTTGGTCCCGCCTCTCAACCGCCAATCAACAGGTGTACAGGTTCCTGAACATATTCAGCTCTCTCATATCTACACTTGAAACGGTGTATGGAGTCAGCATCCACGACATCACTGCCTAATGCATTTCATTTGTCAACTACTCTGACACTAAAAATGTTCTTACTAATATCTTCCACCTGTGTCCCCAAGTGTGTGTGCCCCTTGTGTTAAATAGCATGCCCTTATCTACCCTGTCAATTCCTCTGAGAATCATGTATGTGGTGATCATGTCCCCTCTAACTCTTCTGTCTTCCAGCGGAGTGAGGTTTAACTCCCGTAGTCTCTCCTCGTAGCTCATACCTCTCAGCTCGGCTACTAGTCTGGTGGCAAACCTTTGAACCTTTTCCAGGTTAGTCTTATCCTTGACTAGATATGGACTCCATGCTGGGGCCCCATACTCCAGGATTGGTCTGACATATGTGGTATATAATGTTCTGAATGATTCCTCACCCAAGTTTCTAAAGGCCGTTCTTATGTTAGCCAACCTGACATATGCTGCTGATGTTATCCTCTTGATATGAGCTTCAGGGGACAGGTCTGGCGTGATATCAACCCCCAGGTCTTTCTCTCTCTCTGACTCTTGAAGAATTTCATCTCCCAAATGATACATTGTATCTGGTCTCCTGCTCCTTACACCTATCTTCATTACATTACATTTGCTTGGATTAAACTCTAACAACCACTTGTTCGACCATTTCTTCAGTTTGTCTAAGTCTTCTTGAAGCCGCAAGCTGTCCTCCTCTGTCTTAATCTTTCTCATAATTTTGGCATCATCAGCAAACATTAAGAGGAATGAGTCTATACCCTCCGGGTTATCATTTACGTATATCAGAAACAGGATAGGACCGAGTACAGAGCCCTGTGACGCTCCACTGGTAACTTCACGTCACTCTGAGGTCTCACCCCTCACTGTAACTCTCTGCTTCCTATTGCTTAGATACTCCCTTATCCACTGGAGCACCTTACCAGCTACACCTGCCTGTCTCTCCAGCTTATGTACCAGCCTCTTATGTGGTACTGTGTCAAAGGTTTTCCAACAGTCCAAGAAAATGCATTCCACCCAGCCTTCTCTTTCTTGCTTAATCTTTGTCACCTGATCGTAGAATTCTATTAAGCCAGTAAGGTAAGATTTACCCTCCCTGAACCCATGTTGGCGATTTGTCACGAAGTCCCTTCTCTCCAGATGTGTTACTAATTTTTTCTCACGATCTTCTCCATTCCCTTGCATGGTATACAAGTCAAGGACACTGGCCTGTACTTCAGTGCCTCTTCTCTGTCACCCTTTTTCTATATTGGGACCACATTAGCCGTCTTCCATATTTCTGGTTGGTCTCCCGTCTCCAGTGACTTACTATA